GCGCTGCAGTTACGACAGTCGTAGGCAACCAGACGTGAGTAGGTGACATGTTGACCCCAGCCTCTGATAACGGTTTCATAGTCTTGTAATGGTGCTTGGCGATACATGGGAGAACTTGGCAACGACCAAAGCTGAGTCGCCTGATTGCCGCCGGTCGATGGCGTTGTTGCGTTGAGCTTCTGTCAGTCGTGGCATGTGTTTTACTTTTCACTTGCTGTACTACTGTGATAACAGACAAATGACAACCCATCGTTTTCTCAGCCCAGCAATTCACGCTGCACGTTCATTCCATGATGGTGTGTTTGGCCACCAAGATCCACGTGGTTGCGTTTTTGTGTTTCTACCACGTTTTCGGTATTTTTGGGCCGTACTTTATTCTACCCTCACAAATCACTCCCGATGTAAGCAGACATGAGAAATTCATATTTGGTATTAATTTTGTATGAATACCACCAAAATATCAAATATCCCATTTTTCTACGATTGCGTTTCTTTTGTTTTCGCAGAGTATATTTAATATCATCACGTGTTAGTATTGACTCGCTGATAACATACATTATATCAGTTATTATTCATGGGATATGTATCCTTATGACAGCTGCTGAGTGACGATGAATTTCTGGTACAATGCGTGAAACCTATTTCTAATGGTCCCCGATGTGATGCTTTTGGAACATTTGTGAAAGCAGCGTAAAGCCATACTGATTCACTCAACTGAATTTGAACCCCATCCTTTCAAAATGCAGTATACATGTAATAACCACCTCGTTACGGCCTCGTGATAACCCTGATTACACACTGTACACACTTGGGGAATCGAACCAGGTCTGCGACGCTTAAACCACTAAGCTATCTCACCGCCCCCTTGTAAAGGTCGGACCGATGAACTGTTTAGCTGTTTAGAGCCATCACAGAATACTTGTTGTTCTTTGTGTTGCAGTGGTGTTACATAATAAGCAATGTAAGCCTGTCTAAGCCGCTCTTTGTTCAACGCTACTTTGAACAGCATTTCAGTTATATCACGGCGTGCCAGCTTGATTTAAACACCCAAAGGGTCGGTGGGGTAGCCTAGTGGTTAAAGCGTTGGCTCGTCACGCCGAAGACCCGGGTTCGAATCACCACATGGGTATATTGTGTGAAGCCCATTTCTGGTGTCCCCTGCCGTGATGTTGCTGGAATATTGCTAAAAGCGGCGTAAAACCAAACTCAGTCAGTTAAACACTACAAAGAACGTGAACACAGATGTGGTGTTGACAAGCCTAGGAACACAATCAGAACGATTCTGGAATTGGAACCGGTGATCATCGGTTTCTGGCCCGCACAAGGGACGCAACTCCTCACAGCGAATTGCGACGACTGGGAATCTTGGCTCAACAGTGTCCCCTCACACGATATCAACGAATACATAGTTCATTTGTCAGGTGTTTGTGAAAACCTGCTTGTAATATATTTAACTGTAGCTATTACTAATGGAGATATGTTAAGTGTGTGGTAATTATGAAAATGAATTTCTCACGGTATCAATGGACATGAAACTGATAAAAAAAACCCCTGCGATATGCAGTCGGTGAATGAGTGAGTTTGGTTTTACACCGCTTTTAGCAAAATTCAAGCAATATCACGGTGGGGTACACCAGTAACGGGCTTCACACATTGAAACCATGTGGGGAATCGACCCCGGTCTTCGACGTCACGAGCGACGCTTTAACGACTTGGCTATCCCACCGCTCCGCGATATGCATTCAACTACGTTTATAACGAACTGGCGGATGTAACGAACTTTTTTCGAGTCCCGTTCACTTGCTGTTCGGTGAACGAAATACAGTCATGTAACGAACTAAAGCCGGTAATCCCTTTGTGCTCCTTATATCCTTAGCCTACCGTATGTTAACCTCTGCCGTACGTTTGACACAACACAGATACAGCTTAGATACAGATACATCACTGAAATAATCGATACATACATAGTTCGAGACAAGCGAGGTACATTATCTGAAGCACCGTTACCATAAGGGATCTACTGCAACGATCACGTCACATCCTATTAGTACTGAGTTAGGATACTAGACTTTTCGTTGTGCATATATAGAGCAACAACTAGTCTCTGAAATGAACATATTTTACGGAAAAAAAGTTCATAGTAAAAAAAATAAAATATAATGAAAAGGAGCCCTGAAATTTCTTCATTTTCAGAAGCTGTGGAAATCTAGACTTGCCACATTTTCTAGACTTGCGTGGGCTGTCTTGGATATATTTATCAGGGTCTGTATGACAGACTAATTGTGCATAGTGCACATGCTTTTTCTCTTAGTTTTAACTGCGGGGTGAATTCATTTGAAGTTTATGCACGAAATTAATCTTTTGTCAAGCCAAAATGATATTTATTACGGTGTAATAACAAAATACACAGACTGTGTGACATATTGTTAGGAACTATATATTCTGCTACATAAAGGTTCTGGACCTGGCATTTCTTTCAAATTACTGTTGTTAATCTGTCGTCAGCCTAACTGTGGTACTAAGAAAGAAAAGTGTGGTCCTTAATCTTTTTTTCAGTTGTATATATAGTTCCTAACAATGTATTATACAATAGTACTATGTTATCACACGCTTCTGGGGCGGTGGGGTAGCCCAGTGGTTAAAGCGTTCGCTCGTCACGCCGAAGACCCGGGTTCGAATCCCCACATGGGTACAATGTGTGAAGCTCATTTCTAGTGTCCCCCGTGGTGATATTGCTGTAATATTGCTAAAAGCGGCGTAAAATTAAATCACTCACGCCCTATCATACACTTCTAACTTGTTAAGTATGAGGACTAACGGCAGTCATGTGGTTTCACCCACAGTTTCTCATAATTACTCGTATGTATTCTTTGCACGATTGAAAAGCACGTTTTTGTTAATACTTAATCTGAACACGCTTGATGGGTACACATACCAGCGATCATGGTGCGGCTGAGACAACTCAACACACAGAGTTAATTATCTACGAAAACATTTTGCTAAAAATAATCTTCGCGACCACTAAGCTGGGATGATCGTTTTTCAATGGAGCACAACGTCAACGACAATAGGTTGGGTAAAGTTGGGTAATAACACAACGTAAACGGCTTTTAGTGGAGGCAATCCGATATATAATACTGCTGACATTAGGCCAGTGACAAATATTCTTGTTTCACGTGACTATAATATTACGTGTAGTTATTTAGACTTAGCTTTTCAATTTTGTTATTTTAAATTTCAAATATCCATGAATTCAGTAATATCACAAAGCTATATGGCATGGCGTGGCCAAAAGCTGGAATCTGGTGTGACAAGAAAATATGAACCGAAACCTTCGTCTCTTAACTGTAGATAACATGGATAAAATATACCCATAACACACACCCTCACTAACACCACCTCTACTGAATGGTGGTGTACTCTGGTGAAATCATATACCAGTTGAGATGACAAAACTTTATGGATGATCAGCTGCTTTCGCCATTGTTAACATAAAGAAGTTAGAAACCCACTTTACTTTATTCCTCCGAGAATCACTCATAGTACTGCAGTTAACTAGGTAATGCGCTGGTTAGTACAGTTGTTACTCAGACATACCACAAATAAATATGATATCGGTAACCAGGTCAAGACAGAGCCTGCGCCTGCAGACAGCCAAAAATATGACGTCTGCGGAACTGCAGTTGAAGAGTTCTGCAGTTAAAAAATAAAACTATCACATGTATCTTTAAAATTCAAACAATATGAGCATATCTTCTGCAGATGAGTGCAATATATGTGAGATTTTCAGAACAATATTTTATATTAACCTTATTTAATAATGCTCGTTTACAAAATTCTCATAGGGAAAGTTTTGTCATCTCTATACTACCAACTTCTAGAATGCCACTCAAAGATATCATATACCAGTTATTACATATTACTGCGTTCTATGAACACACATTGCATGTTAACCGGTGTGTGGATACTCATGACGTCAATAAACATTGTGATTCGTGAATGTCTTTATGTGCAGTGTTTAATGAGTTTACTGTTAAGTGCAGCATTTAAGACGGTGGTTGTACTCAAGACTGACTTCCTAATGTCCGCTCCGCGGTTTGGTTATAACCGTTGAAGTATTTTAACAAGGCGATTACCAATTAGCTAAATCACCTGCCAGGTGTAAGGCGCTGGCGCCTGCAGAATACTTATCCCATAAACAACTGCTCTCGAAAACAAAGACCCTTGTGGAAAGCTAATTATACATAAACCAACATTTTCGTGAGATCAAGGAAAGGTGTATACACGTGCACAGAACCGATTGTATCAACATGTTACGCGTATCTGAATAAAGCATACGAAATGTTCTATCACTGGCCATTATCACTTTGACAAAAATATGTTTATGAACTGATACTTAATTATGTAGTTTTGTATACATACAAATTTTATGGATAAACAACTTCTTTATTCGGATGATGCGACGTATCGTTGTCAAACAAGTAAGGAAGTAAGGAAGATGTTCATCCATAAAGTTTGTCTGTATATTACTCTCCAACCTCTAAACAATGCCACTCAAAAAAGTTTTGTAGTTTTGGGCAAATAAAACGAGGAAATAGTTGATTTTGGAATACATGATAATTCAATTACTGTAACTTTGTTTTATTGTGATAAATACTATAATTGTCGTTGACGAATTCGATTTATGACAATTTTGTCCAAACGTAGAAACAGAGTCACTTCGTTGTACAGCTGTAGTGAGTCACGAACTATTTTAATCCTGGAAGTTTGCAGGTGGATCACATATTAAAGCAACCCAAGTTGTGCCCCTTCAAGAGAGTAACCTCCCTTTCCTTATGAGAATTTTGTAAACGAGCATTATTAAATAAGGTTAATATAAAATATTGTTCTGAAAATCTCACATACATTGCACTCATCTGCAGAAGATATGCTCATATTGTTTGAATTTTAAAGATACATGTGATAGTTTTATTTTTTAACTGCAGAACTCTTCAACTGCAGTTCCGCAGACGTCATATTTTTGGCTGTCTGCAGGCGCAGGCTCTGTCTTGACCTGGTTACCGATATCATATTTATTTGTGGTATGTCTGAGTAACAACTGTACTAACCAGCGCATTACCTAGTTAACTGCAGTACTATGAGTGATTCTCGGAGGAAGAGGCACGGCCCAGGGCCCAAATCTCGGTCAGATAACGGTGAAAGTTCGTACCGGAGTCTGGCGAATGGTGGCAATTCCCAGCGAGGAAAAGGCTCTCATTCCAGTGTAAGTGAAACGGCGTAGGTTCCAGCGTCATTTGTTGAAAAGGAAAGAGCTGCTAGTTATTTTTAAAATATCACCTGTTGATTTTAGCTGCTGCAAACCCCTCAGTAACTAAATGACTCATCGTTATTTTGGTTCCTACCAGCTCTTGGTACCAAAGATTTATGGCGTTTTCCCGTGGGTTTATAACATGTTTGGGTACAAAGTTAATTCCTTTTGGAAATATATAGGAGAGAAAATGAGGAACAATATCTTTATTGACAGGCGGAGCTTTGATTACACCGATATGTTTCACTTTCAGTTTGCTTTTGAAAGAAGTTTGCCTTGTACCACAGAGTTAAAGGGACAGAGATTTCTTTACTAGATCTGTGTTTGCTCTATTCACCTGAAATAAAGTTGACGAATAATAAAAAAATCATCTTATCATTAATGATTAATAATCAAATTCTTCAGTTATAACAATATTCCCATTAAATGTATGGTTGCTCAGTGTTTGTAAACAAGATTTTTCATTTATGAAAATGAATTTTTTCATGTCATATGTAAAAATAACATTTAGCATCAGAAGTGTCTGTGCATTAGCTTATTTAATTCATTGGTATGAATGGATGTTTTGTTTGTGTGTATTTTAAATAAATCAAAGTTGTTGCCAAGATGTTAAAAATGCCCTACACATTGTTGCATGTCTTGGCCTTGAGCAATTAATTTAGAAGCTAAAAGCTACAATTTTCATGTCCACTGACACAATGATATATTTTTGCTTATGTATATTATTCTGTCATCAGACACTGACACTAACTGTATAGTTTAGGTCTGCTATATATAACTGTACTTATCTGTGTTATCAGATTTACTGTTCAGTTACAACCATACTCATATGGCATACTGGGTGGTGGGGTAGAATAGTGGTTAAAGCGTTCGCTTGTCACGTCGAAGACCCGAGTTCTATTCCCACAATGTGTGAAGCCCATTTCTGGTGTCCCCTGCCGTGACATTGCTGGAATATTGGTAAAAGTGGCGTAAAACTAAACTCACTCACTCACGCATGGCATACTCCATTTTCAGCTGTTAACATTTGGGCTGTGACAAGGATACACTGGCACTTCTTTTGGTCATATTTTAGAGGGTTCCAGATAGGTTTCCTAAATCGACAATTTTGTTGACTTAAGATGTTTTAAAAATGGTAATCATGTTGTAATGATAAAGACATTATCATCATTGCTGAAAGCTTGAACAAGCTTTATCAAAATATGATCAACTATAATGATGACAGATATTTTGACTGCAGAATTAAAAATAAAAACTAGCATGATATCAATTTTATTGTTTAACTTCAAACAGAGATATATATCAGGATCCTTTTACATAATTGTATTAAGTGAGTGAGTATGGTTTTGCCGCTTTTAGCAATATTCCCGCAATATCAGGGTGGGGGACACCAGAAATGGGCTGTACACATTGTACACATGTGGGGAAACGAACCTGGGCCTTCGGTGTGACGAGCCACCACTTTAACCCCTAGGCTAACCCACCGCCCCAACTGTATTAGATGAAATTTTAGTCTGTTATTTAAATTAATTGGTCATGGACCTTTGTTATAAAACAATAAAATAAGGGGTAGGAATACCATATAAGAAATGTTGGGCTGTATTGACAAACTTTATAGAGAAAACCTCTTTTATTTCAAAGTTGTTATCCAGAAAGTTTGTCAATATTGTACTTCCCAACTTATAAAATGTCACTCAAAGAAATGTTGGGCAAGTGAAATAATACCTTTTCACACTAGCATGGACCAGTTTTATGAATGCTAAGGATATCATCAGCCTGAAGTAGACAGTTTTGGTTGATTTCAAATCCTGGTTTTAAATATATGATTGGTGCCTACCCTCTTTCAAAGCATTCCTGATGATGTCTGGATTGCAGTATTGTTTTGACCAATAGTAAATATGCCCTTGATGTTTTTTGCCTATGGAATACATATTATATCAATATCATGAATATTACATAATATTCCCTTGAGTTTTGGAATGTTGTTTTTACCTCTTTCTCTGAAAGATGTTCACACTTCTTTTAGTCACACTACCAAAGGATGAACAGCTTTGACAGAGTGCGTAAAATAGTCCAGGAAGAGGGTCGAACTGCTCGCAACTTAGTGCAGTACAATCTACCACTGGAAACACACCATGAGCGAACAGGTAAATGCTAGTTATTACATAATATTTTCCTCAAAAACCAAAAGACAGTTTTTTACAGCATTGTAATTAATAACCCTAGAAGGGTCCATATTGAAACTGCTGGCATTCTTTTTAAAATAAATTCATCATATTCACGGAAGACAGATGGCAGCTACTAGAGGTGTGACGATACAGAAATTTCACGATACGATACGTATCGCGATATCTTGAAACGATACGATTCGATTCGATGCATATCACGATATGCTTTCTTTAGTCATTTTCTTTAAAAAATCATATGTTAATAGCAAGAAATTTGGACATAACCGTCAATATCTAATGAAAATTAACAATTTTAAGGTCAACGATACATATCACAATACGAAAAAACATATCGATATATTTATCGTCAGATAAAGTATCAAGATTATCGATACTAAGATATATCGTCATAGCTCTAACAGCTACCGTATTATGCCTATTTCGTCTACCGAATACTTTGTGTTAGAGAGTTATGGATTTAGAGAATTTTTTCTTTTCATCAGGCCGCCCCACGACACGTCAGATACGAAAACCAGGGACCCGTCGTGAGCGCCCAGCCTCGCTGTCATCATTCCCAGGACTAAGTGGTAAAATCTCTCCTCTTGACCCAAGCATGACCAAATCTCCAAAGTCAGATTTAGGCGGCAGGCGAGTTGACCTACGAGCCAGATACTGGAAGTTCCTGTTTGACAATCTCCAAAGGGCAGTGGATGCAATATATGACACCTGTGAACATGACGAGAGTGTGTTGGAATGCAAGGTTGGTGGCATGTTGTTTTCATCAGCTTCATTTGACTTGATTTCACTGTGCTGTAATTATACAGAAAATAAATGTTGTATTTAGTTGCTGTAAATGTAGACTTTTTACCTAAAGTATTAGTTCAAGTCAGTTTATCATAATATAAGGGTATTGATATGGAAGAAATAATGAAGTGTTAGTGACAGGAACTCATTATCTAAGGGAGAGAACTCTAGATTGTCGACATGATACCAAACATTCACACTGTCAGTGTGTTTGGTAATTCTAATGTTGCTAAGTTACTGGTAAGTAATGGTAGGTGGTTGTATGTTTAGATCTTTCCATTTAAAACATGGTCTCCTATTTATAATAATGGTAAGAATGATATGTCAGAAGTTTGTCAATGTATTCCCCTAATTCTGTATCAATTCCAGATAGGAAGTCTAACAGATCCAAATAGAATTTTTTATTTCATTTTTTCATACCTGACCATATCTGTATGATTTTTGTGTGATTTCTTGTGGAAATGTCAACATACCTAGAAAGGATTCCTGTGTGATGCCAAGACAGAATCACATCTGTGACAATTCATGTGGAAAGTGATTGCTTCAGAAAATGACTGATATTATTTGTATTTACTATATTTATGTTGTTTTAGTTTTTTTTGTTTAATTTTTGTTTGTTTTGTATTTGATGCCTGAAAATGTTAGCACTGAACACTTTTGGTTCCAGGTGAAATGTTCAGGCAATATGAAAACATAATGTATTTTCCGTAAATAATACACTAATTTGTTTGTATTTTAGGAAGTGATTATGATGCTGGAACAGAGTACCAAAGACTTTAAGTCGTTAATTGAGCGCATGAATCTGCTGAAAGCTTATGAGGATGCAGCTAGAGGTGGAGACAGGTAGGAAATATTGCAGTGGAATGGTGAGACAGTACATGTGTGTTTAGCAAACAGACATGACAGGGTGAGACTGCAGGTCCTAATAGTGCTTGATATTGATCAATAATAATGGTAATGATTTATTAGATTGGAATAATGCCCAGTAATGACACACCGCTGTCCTGAATTATTGCTGTTTACTTGGTTGTATTCAAGACTAAGACATCTCATGATCTTTTCCCAGCAGTCCATTTGTGACATAAACCATTCCATAGAAACTTACTGACACAAGTTACTTTGACGACATCAAACACGATCACTCACTGAGTGTCACGATCTTGAATGGAGTGTTGCTCACATGAGATCACGTTATATATTTGCACAGTGACTTTTAAAATTTAACAGAATCTAATTGCTTTCTACATTTTGTTATCTGTTTAAAATAATTTTGTATAATATTGGACTGGTTTTGTTTTTCAGTTCCTATGTGGTAGCATGTCTTGTATTGATCATGTTAACCAGTCATACACTTGTACTTCAGACCAACATCTATAGCATGGGAAGTCAGGAAAATGTCACCTGGCAAAAATACTGGAGGTCATGGGTCATCGGTTCAAGGCCGGTGCTCTCCAAGTCCAGCACAGAGATCATTGAACTTCTCAAGTCCCCCACAGGGCCAAGGATTTAATCCAGTTAAAAATGAAAAGTATGTACACTGCTTTTGTGTCCTCATTATTATCCACACAGTCATCAAGTCATACATGTTTCAGCATTGTTGATCATGTTGTAAGCATGCTAATACTCAGTTGACAGTTTGAGAATTCTACTGTTTTAAAGCAGTTTTAGGTTTGATGTGTATGAACTTGTGTTTTTCAGTTCTAAACCAGTGTCTACTGGCAACAGTTGGGCAGACAAGGTGAGGGGGGTGCCAGCTAGGCCTGCTGCCCCTGCAAACATTCCACACAAGCCCACTCCTCGGCGAAGAGAACCATCATTAACAGAGGACTCAGTCTCACCAGCAGGTAGGGAGAGGGCTGAATATATTGAATAAACTTTTAGGCAGAGTACTACATCGCCTCTGTACTTCTTTTATGGTGATGTGTCATCCTGTTGTTAAGTGTCTGTTCAGTGAGAAGTTCTTGGTGTAGTGTCTGTGAGGTCAAGCATTTTTATCATTAGTCAGTTTCGTTTAATAGCCTAACGTATGTTGCTGGCAGAGATACAGCATTGTCAAGATGAATCACTGTTCCCTGATCTACTTCATGGTATTGCATCTTGCTTCAGATGAGGACAGTGACGGATGGGAGACTGTGCAACGAGGTGGAAAGTTGAAGTCACGACAATCCCCATCGCAGAAATCTCTTGAAAATCTTTCCTCCAAATCAAAAGACAAGAAGAAGCTACAGAGGTCAAAATCAGTCCCAGATTCTACCAAAAATGTTTCTAAAGAAAAGTCAGTGCCACCTGACAATGAAGCCAACAGGACATCTTCAGATTCCTACTTGGAAAACAACAACCCACGACGTGAGCGAACTGGCAGCAAGGAAAGCGAGAAGGAGAACATCCCGCAAATGAATCCTAACGTCCTTCAGCAGCAGTCTCTCAGGCAGGAGCGGCGTTCAGAGCTGGAGCGGCACGAGAACGCTCAGCGTATGATTGATAAGTTCGTCGACACTCTATCCAAGGCTCCTGATGACAGTTTCAGCTCTGATGATGAGCGGGAAAGGGATGAAGTCGAGGCTCTTGCTGAGCAACTGGACAATGTGAGTAGATTTATGAAATACTAATGAAATGTGTTGTTTAACAGTATTAGAATAACATTACTGCCAATGCAATTGCTTCATACATATTCCAGCTGACAATCCCAAGTCTTATTCATGCTCATACACTTTAACAGCACCATATTAGAGTAACCTCTCTTACAACAATAAGTACTGTGTATTTTGATATTCCTCTTTCATTCCACAAAATTGTCCACAGACCATAATCTTCAAAATTGACATTATGAGAGTTCTCTCCTTTACATCATTCAATCAGCACTACTGTGTTTGATGTATGTCATAATGAGAAAGGTAAAATTGTTGCTGTGACCACAGACTTGAAACTTTATTTAACTCTGTTAAATTCTCATCATGTTTTTGAGCATAACTCCAAAACAGTTCAATATTTTTCAACAAAAATTGGTAGATATATCAAACAGATCTTGAAGTGGTGCCTTCGCTATTTACAGATTTTTGTCATTTATATTTTTCTTGGTTTCTATGGAAATGTTTTGGTCCTAAAGTGGTGCCTTTTCCTAATTGAATATTTTTGGCATTTTTATTATCCCCCGCAACAATGAAGTTGTTGCAGATATAGAAACAAGTTCCGTCCGTGCGTCCGTCACACTTTGTCCGAAGCATATCTCCTAAACTATACTTGCTAGCTTCATCAAACTTGGTACACATATCAAGCATGATCCCTAGATGTGCCTTTTGGGGGTTAGACCCAGATATGATTTTTATTGTAAACATCTTGGTAAACATATCTAGCATGATCCCTAGATGTGCCTTTTTGGGGGTTAGACCCAGATATGAATTTTAAGTTTTAAACTTATCCTATCTCACGGTATGCACTTCTCTCTCTTGATTCGACACTGAGTGGAAACTTTTTTCCTAGGCCTCTCTTGTCCATCCGCCCAAGCACTCCATGCTACCCTCACTATAAGCATGATAAGACAACTTGCTAGCTCTCATGCGAAGCGTCAGCGGCATGCACCACTTTCTACCCACGTGACTATCTCTGAAACATCATTCTTTTTCTTGTTATGCACTAGTGTGGACGTGTGTTACCTTGCTCTACGATTTTCAACTTGGTAAACTACAATATGGGGAAGGTGGACCAACCTAAGAAGAGAAAAAAATGCTCCCGGTGTAATAAGGTGTTTTCAGCGTGTGATCGGAGATCCGCATAGTGTTTATGTTGACTGTATGGGACAGTGTCAGTGGGAATCTCGTGAAAAATGTAAACATCTTACCTTCGAGGCGTTTGGTGCTTATACCAGGGCTTGCACTCGTCATGCTGCTGACAGGGCTTGTTATACTGCTTCCATTGATGGACCCAGTCCCTCCAAGAAAGGAAAGTTCAAGCGTCCTACTTTGTCTGCTCGGCGGTTACAGTCTCCTCACTTCGAATGAAGAGGACTTCATGAGAGCGTCATTGGATTCTTACTTATCGGAAGATGTTCGACATTTGTCCAGCCCGAGTCCTTCGTCTTCGACCACGTCCCGGGTAGTAGTTGTCGAGTCTGCTACCACCCCTCTAGATACCTCTACACAGCAGGACCTTCGACCTACGCTCTCTGTATCTCGTTCACCTGACCAGTTATTTCTACAACCTGGCTTATCCGGATCAGACAAGACCCAGCTGAATTCTCCACCTGACTGCACAGCGTGCATGCGCAGAAGCCGTTCTCGCTCTCGTCGTTCATCCAGTAGTGAGAGGAACCAGTCTACCTCGCTTCAACGCCTGTCAGCGGTTACTTCACCGTCTCTTTCCTTTTTGACGAAAAGAAGCCAGCTACCTCGATCTTCTGTTTCGCTGAAATCTGCCAGATGGAATCACAGTTTGTGCTCACGTTTCGCCTCTTCGCTCTTCCCCACTTCGACTTTCGCTGGACTGTCCACCTTCCCCAGAATTAGACCGGCTCTCTCCGAAACAGTTTTCGCTGAAACACCAGTCTAAGAGTCAACTTTCACCTATTCGTTCGTCGTTGAAACAACTGTTGCTGAAACGGAAGATTTCACCGAAGCGACACGTGGTGAATAGACTTTCGCCAAAACAGCCTTCTTTCAAGCGGTATTCAACGGAATGTTTTTCGCCGGATCGTCATAGTACTTCCCCCGACCTCTGTTGGATCTTACAGTCACGTCACCTCACCTCAGAACAGACGCGACCTTCATCGAGTCGTGTTGATCAGTCTCCTATTATTCTTCGGATCTGTTCGCCGGATAGACCTGATAGGTCTCCTTCATCACCGAGACGCCACTCTTTGACTCGTTCAACTAAGCACACGCCTCCCTCTGCTCTGTTGAGATCGGTTCTTCGTTCCAAGTCTCCCCCTCGGAATTCGTCTTCTCGTCGTCATGGGACTTCCGGTTCTGCGCATTCGACCCGTCAACCCAGATCTCCTACACGAGTGACTGTTGCTTATCGTTCAAGATCTAGGGATTGTTGTTATCATTGTGATATCTCCCCTCTTCGCTCCCGTTCTCCTCAGCGGGTCTCCATTTGTGCTTTCTCTCCCGGTTCGTCCCCCTCCAGACATAGATATGGTTCTACGGATCAACGATCTAATCAACGCGGTTGCGATCTCAGCGTGCTATGACTTCTGATGGGACTTTTGCCTCCTCGCATGTTTCTACACGGATTGTACCGGATTCCTGGACTCCTGCACAGGACACTACTCCTCCCCCAGATCTGGCTGCAATGTTAAGTGCTCTTACTACTGCTTGGAATCAACAACAGGCTGCTCACTCTACGGGGAATGCTTCTTCCCTCGGACCATCTGTTCCGGCGCCTACTCCTGGTGTTCCACCTGATCCTACGTCTCCAGCACATTCAGCTGTGGATTCCCGAGAGGGTAGTTTGGATTTTGTTGATGAGCCTCAAGTTTAAGCTTGGATAGTGGAGAAGCTCCGCCTTCCTATGTCACAGAACCCGGAGGATTTATCTCATTCCTTCTTCATGAGACACCGTGACTTGACATCTATTACTTTCCCACCACAGCCTTGTATTGCTCATCTCACTGTCTCCTTGGATCATGCCTTTAAAAGCCTTAAACGGATTAAGGATGGCCTGTCCTCACCTAGATTTTTGCTATCAGCAGCTCACTCCCATGGTTTCCAGTCCTTGGCTACTACCCCTTCGGTGGATGAGGATATCCAAACACTTTGCGGGAAGAGGTCTTGTTCAACTTTTTTAGTTGAAGACAGAGAACTGTCTCACATGGACACAGCTATTCGTCGTTCCTTACCCTCAATCAATTGCATCATCTCGGCAGTGGACGCGGTTGCGGCTTCAGTGGAACACTCTTTCACCGATCAGGATGCTTACATCAGAGGTTGTATGTCTCTACTGGACCAGTTTCAGATTGTACTTGACCAGTTGTCTCATTTCTTTGGCTATCTCCTGGCAGTTCGACGTCGGGGCCCACTCAATTTGTCTTCATGGGATGACAGGTTTAGGGCTGAACTCTTCCGTCCACCGTAGTCTGCTGAATCTTTGCTTAATGGCTTGATTGGAGATGTTTCATCGAAGGTGGATCGAGACACTCAATTTCAAGTTTCGGTGGAATTATTGAAGCTCCAGACTGACTGACTGACTGAGTTTGGTTTTATGCCGCTTTTAGCAATATTCCAGCAACATCACGGCGGGGGACACCAGAAATGGGCTTCACACATTGTACCCATGTGGGGATTCAACCCGGGATTGAAGCTCCAGACGTCTCATCTGCAAGTTTCTATGATACAGAGGAGGCCTCCACGGTTTGTGCCGTCTCATCTGGAATTGCGTCAGGGTTTTCGTGGCCATTCGTCCCAAGCTAGAGGTAGCAGGTCCTCCCGTGGCACTTCTTCCCGACGTCCCTCCAAGTCTGACTCCCGACCTGCGAGTGGGGCCCCCAAGCAGTGACTCGTCGAAACCAGGGCACGACTGGGAACTCCCGCCTCCAGCCGTCCCCATCTACGACTCTCCAGTGGGCGGGAGACTAGGGAGATTCGCTCCAAACTGGACCATACTCGACGATCCTTTCGTGACCGACCTCCTTGCCACGGGTTATCACCTTCCAGTCATCGGACGTCCGCCACTGACAGTAAATCCTGTACACCGCAGCTACCCCACAGACCAGGTCCAAGTTCTTCACTCCACCATAGGTACGCTGATAGAGAAATGTGCAGTCCAGTCTCTCGGTCCGGCGCCCAGCACTCCGGGGTTCTATTCCCCCATCTTTCTTGTTCCCAAGAAAAACTCCACCAAACTAAGACTCATTTTCAACATTTCCACGGCCCCATGGCTATTTACCAGGATCACCAAGCCGATCACCAGGTTTCTTCATCTCCACGGGGTCGTGTTTGAAAGTTACATCGACAAAGTCGTGACTGTTTTCAGGCACAAAGAGACCCAGTCGTTCTTCTATGTCAGTTGGAGTTCAGTACAAAGCTACTCCGGCAGCTAGGACCCAGACGTTCTTCTATGTCGGGTTCAGTACAATTGCAGCTAGGTTGACTCGGGGGACAATTGCAACTCGCGTCCGCTTGCAGCTTCCGCGTCCAGTATCTCAAAGATCTCCAGGAGTTGATTCGTCTTCCCGAACCCTTACGTCCGTTTCTTCAGTGGTGGCTTGTCGAGCAGAACATTTGCGCCAGAGTTTGTTTGATGCCGTTCATTCCGAAGCACCACTTGTTCGTCAACGCGTCGCTCAAAGGTGGGGGGGATCACTTTCTTCATCATCAAACGTACGGGCTGTTCCGCAGAACGGAACATGCACATCAACGAACTCGAGTTCTTGGCGGTTCTTCACGCCATTCGACATTGGGCGACGGGACTTCAGGGGTCCTCCCTGCTGATTCAGACAGACAACTCCTCGGTCGTCTGGTACATCAACCATCTTGGGTCGACAGGTTCAGCAAACCTTCTTCAGTTGGCGTTTTGGTTCTTCCATCTGATCGACTCCCTTGCCATCGATGCTCGAGCCAGACACATTCCTGGAGTCAGGAATGTCATCGCAGATGAGCTGTCCCGCTCCGATCGGCTGTCTCCCATGGAATGGCAATTGAACCCACAGATCTTTCGGGAACTGGTCTTCCTGTTATCAAGGCCCCAAGTCGACCTCTTTGCCACACGGTTCAACCATCAGCTCCCGCAGTTTGTCTCGCCGATACCAGACCAATTAGCGTGGGGTCTCCACGCTCTGGCGATTTCGTGGGAGCGACTCAACGCTTACGCCTTTCCTCTTCCAGCTCTTCTACCCAGAGTCGTTCGGAAACTCCGAGCGACCAGGCAGATTCTACTGACTTTGGTCGCGCCTTACTGGCCAGTCAGGAGTTGGTTTGTCGATCTCGCACAGCTTGCAGACCCCAACCAGTCCCGCTTCCCGATCGGGACGACCTACTGTTACACCCTCACTCGGATCGGCATCATGTCTCCCTTCACACCCTGTCTCTACACATTTGCAGAGGTCCTGAATCGCCAAGGGGTATTCGCGGAGAGTGGCTATGGCCATCACTTCTGCTCATCGGACTTCCACTCGCTCACTTTATGATGAGAAGTGGAAATGTTTTGAGAGATATTGCACGTCCAGAGGCATTACATCTCCTGTTTCTTCTTCGCTTCAGCTCGTCTCTGAGTTTCTGCAGCATTTGCGGTCGTCTAAGAAGCTCAAGAGTTCCACTTTGGCCACTTACCTTGCTGCGATCAACTCGGTCCTGGCTACCACCACAGGCTCTAAGGTCTCCACGGTTCCTGAGCTTCAGTATTTGCTTCGGTCCTTTAAGTTGGCCGATCAGTCTAAGAAATTTAGACCTCCTGCTTGGGATTTATCTGTGGTGCTGCGTCATTTGGCCTCGTTGGACTATGAACCCCTAGCTCAGAAGGACTTTGAGCAGATCTCCTTCAAGACCTTCTTCCTTGTGGCCTTGGCTACAGCTGCTCGGATATCTGAACTCCACGCTTTGGACGTTAATAGAGTCCACTTTGAACGGAAGAAGCATGGAAAAGTCTTCCTAGGTCTCCGTTGGGATTTTGTAGCGAAGAATCAGTTGCCGGGATAACCCGATCGTACTTTTACCATCCCACCGTTGTCCACGATCCTTGGGACGCATGACAATGAAGACCTGCAGCTTTGCCCCGTTAGGGCTTTGAAGATTTTTCTTGCTGCTTCTAAAGATCGCCGCCATCTTCGCGAGCGCCTCTTCATTCCGTTGTCCTCAACATCCAGGGCGGAAGTGTCTCGCACCACTTTATCCTTCTGGATGAGAGCCACCATCCTACGGGCTTACACCTTCGCTAGGTTACCGCCTCCGACAGCTTCCAATCCACATGAGACACGGGCGTTAGCTCTCTCCACGCCATTATGGAAGGATGTTTCTGGCGATCCGACTCGGTCTTCTCCTTGCACTATCTTCGAGACCTCTCAGTCAAGGATGTCCCAGGTCTGCACCAGTTTGGACCCCTTGTGCTCGCACAACAGTTGTCTACGGCCCATCAACGCAGATAGGGAACGGTCCCTCGCGGTTGCTGCTTCCCTGTATTTTATAGAATATAAGTCTGAACTTGCTGTTTGCCTTATGTGTTGATTGCTTATGGGTTAGAACTACTTCACTTAGTTTTATACTAAGACATGGAGATACTACCACCTCGGTGGTTGGACGAATCTGGAGCTCGATTCTGTATCAGGATGTGGAAGGGTTCGACATTTCACGTTTCTTGACCTCTACTTTTCGAAGCAATTACATCAGTGAAGTGTGTCACTCCCGCATTCCAGTGGATTTCGTTGCGTTCCGACTCCGAAGTTGCCGGGCTCATCCTTTGACTAAGCTTATGCAAAGGAGTGAGGGTCAATTTGATGCTGTCCCGGAACTGAACGTTAAAACTTGGAGTTCCCGAGTTGTGCTCCTCTTTCACCCGCCCCTGGTCGGTGTCTGTGGGGGTTTTCTCGAAGCAGGGGCTGGCCCGATTATTGTCAACCGACTGTAATTTACGGGGGTACCTTGAAAATCGTGGCGAACTGACATCCTTTCTCGCTGAACTACGTCCTTCTTCGGAGGTTGTGGCCGAACTCCCTGGGAGACGTTGTGCTTAGTAAGCCAAGGAGTTCCAAAGAACTCAGCACAAGCATAGGAGTTGCGTGCATGGGTAACAGGCCTCCCTTGTGCATCGCTCTCTATGGTCGTTTCCAGTCTACACAGTTCCTACTGTTTGCACTGTCAAGACACAGGGTATCTGCGTCCCGCCGTCCGACCGTGGGATAAGTGCATACTGTGAGATAGGATAAGTTTAAAAAAATTTAAAATTTAATATAAATGATATATTTATATACTTATACTATCTCACGCGACGGATTTCCGCCCATCCTCCCCGCTATGCAGATTCTCCAAGATTGATATTATCCAGTGGCTCCAAGAATGAGAATGATGTTTCAGAGATAGCCACGTGGGTAGCTTGTGGTACATGCCGCATGCTTCGCATGAGAGCTAGCAAGCTGTCTTATAGTGAGGGTAGCATGGAGTGCTTGGGCGGATGGACAAGAGAGGCCTAGGAAAAAAGTTTACATCGTTCCATTCAGTGTCGAATCAAGAGAGAGAAGTGCATACCGTGAGATAGGATAAGTATATAAATATGCAATTGATATTAAAATTTTCAATTTTGTGCTGTTTCCAGCAGATCTCCTAAATTATACATGCTAGCTTCATCAAACGTGTTACACATATCAAGCATGATCCCTAGATGTGTCTTTGGGGATTAGATCCAGATATGAATTTTATTTTTTATCCTCCGCAACGCGTTTTTCGGGGGGTATTAAAATGGACTCCGTCCGTGCGTGCGTGCGTCGTCGTGTGTCTGTCCGTCCGTCCATCCGTGCACATTTGTCTTTTCCGGAGCAGAACTCTAAAACCGTTCACTATTTCTTCACCAAACTTGGCACATACATAGATCTGGTGGTGTACTGGTGCCTTTTGGTAGTTTTGGAATTCTGAATAAAATATTTTTGGCTTTTCCATGGCAACAAGTTTGACTTAGCCTGAAATTGGTGGTAGTGCTCTTTTCCAGAGCTGAACTCTAAAACCGTTCACTATTTCTTCACCAAACTTGGCACATACATAGATCTGGTGGTGTACTGGTGCCTTTTGGCAGTTTTGGAATCTTGAATAAAATATTTTTGGCATTTCCATGTCAACAAGTTTGACATAGACTGAATTTGGTGGTAGTGCTCCTTTCTGAAGAGATCTTAAAAACCTTTCAATACTCTCCTTCCACTTTGCTGTATACACACCACAACATTTGACATAATCATGACTAGTAGACATATTCATAAAGAGTATTTTGCCGTTGGCGGGGGATATTTATGACTTTGTCTTCTTGTTTTACTTGGATCATGGAAACGCTTTGGACTTAGTCTCAAATTAAGGGAGGGGTGGGCTTCGTTTCCAGAGCACAACTTGAAAACTGTTCAACATCTTTCAATAAAACTTGGCAGATATATCACACAGATCTTGAAGTGGGGCCTTTTGCTATTTACAGAGTTTTGTCATTTTTATTTTTTTGGTTTACATGGTTTGGACTTAGTCTCAAAAAGGGAGGGGTGGGCTTCATTTCCGGATCACAACTCGAAAACCGTTCAATATCTTTCTACAAGACTTGGCAGAAACATCAAACAGATATTGAAGTGGTGCCTTTTACTATTTGGTGATTTTTGGCATTTATATTTTTCATGTTTTCCATGGAAACGATTTGGATGTAGTCAAAAAAAAATCAAGTTGGACTTTAAGTAACTGTTAGATGGTTTGTTCTTTAAAATTTGTGGGGTCCGGGGGGATTTGTCATCTTCTGATCTTCTTTTAAATAACCAGTGTTGTTCAGATATTCTTATGCACTGACAGCATATCCACCACTGTGGGCCATAGTGAATGTAGCACACATAATTCCAGTTAAAATGTTTTTGTAAATGTGTCACTGTTGGGGACATGACCAATTTGAGAGTGTTAAGTTGGCACATGAGCCATTAATCATGTTATATAAATGTATCAGTATGTATCATTTTATATAAATGTATCAGTATGTATCATTTTATATAGATGTATCAGTATGTAAATTAGTATATTGTCTCAGAAAACATATTGTATTTTTGACTTTGATGATCATTGGCCTTCACTTAATCCTGTGAGTTTCAAGTAGACTTAATAATATTTGTAACAGACTGGAGATATGCCTTTAAACTTTGCTTGTGTCAATTGAAGCCTTATTTTATTTTCATGATGTTATATTGTCTGGCCTGTGTTCTACACTATTTGATAAACCCAGTAGAAATGTCCACCAGACACACTAGATAGCAATGTTCACCTTTCTAGGCCTTGGCTTCTGCGCTTGACGAGGACGACACTCAGTCGAGTCAACTGGAGCGGGAGCAGAACCGAGCCATTGAGTCCGCCATCAAGGAGGAAGAGTCGTACCTCCAGGCTCTGGCCAAGGAGGAGAGCACTGAGATTGAGGTGGAGACGGAAACAGAGAGCGAGCTGGGGGTGAGTCTCTCAGAACTTGTTATACAGTGCACAATCGCAGTGAATTTGATTCCATGTGCAGCAGATCCTGGCAGTTCCTCAGCCTGCTTAGTGAGGTAACTTTATACAGTGAATTGAGGTGCCGTAAAACATCAGGTCACCCTTACAGATTGACTGGAACAGAGCTGTTTGTGTTATGTGATGGTAAGACAAAGCCAATACTCCATTAGTCCAAGACTTGTGAAAGTTTAGTAGGGGTGGTCTTCTTCCAAAATCTATTTCATTTAAAATGATCTCCAAACTAGTTGGATAAAACCCATTCCATTGCTTCTAAATGCTGCAAGCTTGATGAAAGTGTACATGAAACTGTACAGAAACGTTACAACAGTAGAGTTGTGACGATATATCGTAGTATCGATAATCATGATACTTTTTCTGACAATAAATATATCAATACTTTTTTCTGTATCGTTGACCTTAAAATTGTGAATTTTCACCTGAAATTGACGGTTATGTCAAAATTTACTCTGTTTCTTGTTATCAAAATACACATTTTTAAAGAAAATAACTAAAGATATCATATCGTTCCATGATATCGCGATACGTATCGTATCGTGAAATTTCTGTATCGTCACACCTCTATACAACAGTGTAAATTAAAAAAGTTTGTGATTTCCTCAATCCTATTTCAGTTGAATTGGGGTTAGTGTTGTACAGGACAGACATTATATAATGCATCTACATCATCATGTATGTATGGTTTTTTTCTTACAGAACACAACATGTTCCTTTGAAAACTCCGCCCAGACCATGGACTGGGATGCTATGGTGGCAGCTTATGATGGTAGGTTGTTGGAAGGTGGGCAGAGGCCCTTCCTTATGGCTGTGGCATTGTTTCATATGCTGCAGGATAGACTGAATTTGAAGAAAACACTTATGTTTTTCAGAGATATCCCCCAGACATGCATACCCACAGAACCTGGCTTTTATCACTCTAATTTTATACCAGTTTGTTTTGAATGTATTTAGATGTATTTCAGGACTTGTTCATTCAACATGTTTTGCTTAAAGCCTTTGTGGGCACTAATTAGACTTTCCTTCAAGCCTCATTTGTTTAGAGTTACTCAGAACACCAGGACTGTCTATTGCTAAGTTGAAAATGAACTAGATCTTTAAACTACACAACAGAATTCACCAGATGTACTCTTCGAGTGCTTGTGTTATAAGTATTAGGAAAATGCTGATATAAATCATTGTTCCGCTCTTTGAAACATTAGAACAAGAGTTGTCTGGGAGGAAATCATGGGGGGAGATGGCCGAGGAGGCTGATGCTAGGACACCTGGACATGGGGCGCACATGCATGAAAAACTCTCGTCACCATCACGGAAAAGGTAGGTCACTGGTCCTTGGTCCATGTTTGTCAGAGAAAAGTGACACAAATGTGTGTTGACAAAATAATTCTGAAGAAGCAGAGTCTAGTTTTTATTTGTGCACATCCAAGTTATCCAACATAGTCCATTTATCCAGCTGATGCTGAACAGATCCCCAGTAATCCATGTTATTGGCATAATGGGTAGAGGAAAGATAATTGATGGGATGTTTCAGTGTAAAACATGGCTTGTACATTCTTCTACCCTGTTAGGATGGATGTTGAGCAATGCTGTCTGCCACTGGTGTTGATTAGTTAGTTGATATAGTTGAGTCTGTCTGAGACGTGTATTAATATAAGTGTTTGCTGGTAGGTCCCCGACTGAGTCTCGCCGACGCCATGAACAGAAGCAAGCCAAGGCCCAGGAACTGAGAGAGAAGCTGATGCAGGAGAAAGCTGACAGACTGAGGGATCTGTCAAAGAAGGTGGGAATAAGCTAAGAATGACTTTGTAAAACATACTGTAGGGGATGTCATTGGTCCTGAGCACCTCGTGCTTGTCTTTAGAAGTTATTGGATTGGGTGGATTTGATGACTGGGTTGTTGTCATTGTACCTCAATCTCAGGTTTGTTTTGTTGTGACGTGAATCTTTACATACCACACTCATATAGCTGGAATGTTGCAGCACAGGCAAATTGTAGCGCAAATAGGGTTGCACAACAAAGAGAAAATGACCAGTCTTCCTACATGCGAGCAAAGTGAGCAAAGGTTGGCAACGTACTGTTCTCGCTTCGTTTCAAAAAATATTTTTCATATCAAAATAAAATATCGCCCACTATCAAAAGTAAACACCCATTTCCTCACAGGATTGTGCTTTCAGATTTCCAACCTCACATTTAATAATTACTCACGTATAACATATTTAATTCAACATTTTATTCACTCGTAGCATATCAAATCGTTCATCGCCTCCATTACCCCTGCTAGCTTCTGGTTCAACGGAGTGAAGGAACAGTTTTCGAGTTGTGATCTGGAAATGAAGCCCACCCCTCCCTTTTTGAGAAGTCCAAAACGTTTCCATGGAAACCAGGAAAAATATAAATGACAAAATCTGTAAATAGCAAAAGGCACCACTTCAAGATCTGTTTGATATATCTGCCAAGTTTTGTTAAAAGATATTGAGAGGTTTTCAAGTTGTGCTCCAGGAACGAATCCCACCCCTCCCTTTTGAGACAAGTCCAAAACGTTTCCATGGAAACCAAGAAAAATATAAATGTCAAAAATCTGTAAATAGCAAAAGGCACCTCTTTGGGATCTGTTTGATATATCTGCCATGTTTTGTTGAAAGATATTGAACAGATTAATTGAGTATTTACAAAAATTCAAGCATACTTGTATGCAATAGACTTAATAGGAATTGAGTATTCCCATAAATATTTGCGTAATTTACCCAGATACCTTTGATTGTATGTTCTTGTAAGGTTGAGGAGGTCAGAGCATGGAAAGAGGAGCTGATGCGGCAACGCCGGGTAACAATTACTCGGAAACTACAGAGAGCTGAGGTGAAACGGCAGAGTCAGCTGAAGATCAAGGCTAAGAAAGCTCATGAGGAGGAAGCCAAGGTCAGTGTGTTGAAATAATCATTGAGCACTGGTATGGGTCTTTTAAGTAAGGGCATCACATCTAATGTCTAAAAGTATTTTCATCACTGATTTACCCGAGTCCGAGCCTAATCTTTAATCTGGACCTGGACCTTTGTTTAATAACATCCAATGCCCTAAAAGAACTCCCATTTAGATGCACTTCCAAGTTTCAATTTGTATAATTTGGTTGCAGGCAAATGAAATAGCTTTCATCAACACACTTGAAGCCCAGAACAAGAGACATGACATCATGTCGAAACATCAGGAGTCTGAAGCTCGGTTGCAGGATCTTATTGTGAGTTGAATACAGTATAATGTCTGGAATGTCCAGAGTGTAACTTCTGTGTAGCCAGTTCAGCTAGGGATTACAATATACCTGCAAATATATTCGCAGTGTATCTTCAGATTAACCAGTTCACATGTCGTATGAAATATTGAAATTGAAACCTTTGGACATTTTGGGTAGTTTTATGCCGAATAGGTAGCAAGTATACTTGTATGTTATCATTCTCTTATGGTTTGTCTTGTGTGGTCAGGAACAGAGTGCAGTGATATGACCATGATGGCTGTAATGTATGGGTCACCACAGCAGTAATTGTTTAATCATTTTACTGTATATATGTGAATCTCAGTTGTTGAGATTCTGTGAGCAATTGGTTAATGTTTACAGGAGGAACGTCAGAGGAAATTTGAGGAGAAACAGGCGAAGGAGGCAGCTGTGGAGGAGCGTCGCCGGGCACTGGAGGCGGACAGAAAAGCCCGGTTGCTGGAGATGCAGGAGAAACGGAAACAGCGGGAGGCTCGCATTGAGCAGCAGCAGCTGGTCCGTGAGAAGGAAAGGCTTGAAGCTGTCAGGGCGAAGGAGAAGTGAGTATAGATGAATGTCCTTGCCATGGAGAAGTTAGGATAGATGGGTGTCAGGGCCAAGGAGAAGTGAGTATAGATGGGTGTCCTTGCCATGGAGAAGTTAGGATAGATGGGTGTCAGGGGAAGGAGAAGTGAGTATAGATGGATGTCCTTGCCATGGAGAAGTTAGGATAGATGGGTGTCAGGGCCATGGAGAAGTGAGTATAGATGGGTGTCAGGGCCATGGAGAAGTGAGGATAGATGGGTGTCAGGGCGAAGGAGAAGTGAGTATAGATGGGTGTCAGGGCCATGGAGAAGTGAGTATAGATGGGTGTTAGGGCCATGGAGAAGTGAGGATAGATGGGTGTCAGAGAAGGGAGAAGTGAGTATTGATGGATGTCATTGCCATGGAGAAGTGAGTATTGATGGGTGTCAGGGCCAAGGAGAAGTGAGTATAGATTGGTGTCAGGGCCATGGAAAGGTGAGTATAGATGGGTGTCAGTGCGAAGGAGAAGTGAGTATAGATGAATGTCCTTTCCATGGAGGAGTTAGTATAGATGTGTGTCAGGGCCAAGGAGAAGTGAGTATAGATGGGTGTCAGGGCCATGGAGAAGTTAGTATAGATGGGTGTCAGGGCCAAGGAGAAGTGAGTATAGATGGATGTCCTTGCCATGGAGAAGTTAGGATAGATGGGTGTCAGGGCCAAGGAGAAGTTAGTATAGATGGGTGTCAGGGCCATGGAGAAGTGAGTATAGATGGATGTCCTTGCCATGGAGAAGTTAGGATAGATGGGTGTCAGGGCCAAGGAGAAGTGAGTATAGATGGGTGTCAGGGCCATGGAGAAGTGAGTATAGATGGGTGTCAGGGCCAAGGAGAAGTGAGTATAGATGGGTGTCAGGGCCATGGAGAAGTGAGTATAGATGGGTGTCAGGGCCATGGAGAAGTTAGGATAGATGGGTGTCAGGGCCATGGAGAAGTGAGTATAGATGGGTGTCAGGGCCAAGGAGAAGTGAGTATAGATGGGTGTCAGGGCCAAGGAGAAGTTAGTATAGATGGGTGTCAGGGCCAAGGAGAAGTTAGTATAGATGGGCATCAGGGCCATGGAGAAGTGGGTATAGATGGGTGTCAGGGGCATGAAGAAGTGAGTATAGATAGGTGTCAGGGCCAAGGAGAAGTGAGTATAGATGGGTGTCAGGGCCAAGGAGAAGTTAGTATAGATGGGTGTCGGGCCATGGAGAAGTGAGTATAGATGGGTGTCAGGGCCATGGAGAAGTGAGTATAGATGGGTGTCAGGGCCATGGAGAAGTGAGTATAGATGGGTGTCAGGGCCATGGAGAAGTGAGTATTGATGGATGTCCTTGCCATGGAGAAGTTAGTATAGATGGGTGTCAGGGCCATGGAGAAGTGAGGATAGATGGATGTCAGGGCCATGGTGAAGTCCATAGATGGGTGTCAGGGGCGATAGAGAAGTGAGTATAGATGAATGTCCTTGCCATGGAGAAGTTAGTATAGATGGGTGTCAGGGCCAAGGAGAAGTGAGTATAGATGGTGTCAGGGCCATGGAGAAGTTAAGTATAGATGGGTGTCAGGACCATGGAAGTGTGAGTATAGATGGGTGTCAGGGCCATGGAGAAGTGAGTATAGATGGATGTCCTTGCCATGGAGAAGTTAGGATAGATGGGTGTCAGGGCCAAGGAGAAGTTGAGTATAGATGGGTGTCAGGGCCATGGAGAAGTTAGTATAGATGGGTGTCAGGGCAATGGAAAAGTAAGGATAGATGGGTGTCAGGGCCAAGGAGAGTAGTATAGATGGGTGTCAGGGCCATGGAGAAGTGAGTATAGGCGGGTGTCAGGGCCATGGAGAAGTGAGTATAGATGGGTGTCAGGGCCATGGAGAAGTGAGTATAGATGGGTGTCAGGGCCATGGAGAAGTGAGTATAGATGGGTGTCAGGGCCATGGAGAAGTTAGTATAGATGGGTGTCAGGGCCAAAGGAGAAGTTAGGATAGATGGGTGTCAGGGCCATGGAGAAGTTAGTATAGATGGGTGTCAGGGCCATGGAGAAGTTAGGATAGATGGGTGTCAGGGCCATGGAGAGAAGTTAGTATAGATGGGTGTCAGGGCCATGGAGAAGTTAGTATAGATGGGTGTCAGGGCCATGGAGAAGTTAGTATAGATGGGTGTCAGGGCCAAGGAGAAGTGAGTATAGATGGGTGTCAGGGCCATGGAGAAGTGAGTATAGATGGGTGTCAGGGCTGTTCAGAAGTGAGTATAGATGAATGCCCGAGCCCCGGAGAAGTTAGTATTGATGGGTGTCAGGGCCAAGGAGAAGTGAGTATAGATGGGTGTCAGGGCTGTTCAGAAGTGAGTATAGATGAATGCCCGAGCCACGGAGAAGTTAGTATTGATGGGTGTCAGGGCGAAGGAGAAGTGAGTATAGATGGGTGTCAGGGCTGTTCAGAAGTGAGTATAGATGAATGCCCGAGCCACGGAGAAGTGAGGATAGATGGGTGTCAGGGCCAAGGAGAAGTGAGTATAGATGGATGTCAGCGCTATGTGTCACATTTATTGTGTCCACTCTGTTTCATCAATTAGCTAGAATATCATGAAACCAGCAAGAGCACAGCTGTTTTTGGTGTAGTTGTTGAATATGTCCTTGTGATCCAGAGACCGTGAGGAACGTCTAGCAGCCCTAAACGCCCAGCAGCAGCAGCACATACAGGAGCTACAGAAGAAAATACAACAAAAGGTAAGAGCAAGTATTAGATGAACTCTGACACATCATTCATGCTACACACACAGGTCTCAGTGTCTGCTGTCATCTCTTGTTTCACGTCATCTTCTGGGGAAAACAAGAGTTACCTCCCTTTGACCAGTTGTGCTGATAAAGTCTCTGTTTATACTCATTTCCCCCAAAACATAAAGCATCAGTTTTATATATTTCATGTTGAATATTTGTAGTTTAAAAATATTTGCTTACTTTTGCCATGTGCAATAATTTCTTTTGCTTTCAACCATAAAAGCAATTTTATGGGAGTATTCATTGTTCTGTATGTACCTGAGTATGGACAAACTTCAGAGTGGAGTGCAGATGACTCCTTGAAGAAAGTGAGCCTTCAATGTTGTAATGCTGGGATTGTGTTACTGTTTCCAGCAAGATGAGAGCTCCCAGCGTCATGAGGAGATCCTCAAGCAGATCCGAGAGAAGGCGTTTGTGATGAGTGTGCTGAGACATTCCACTGAGGACCACAATGATGCTCCACAACTGACACCCTACGACAGGCCGAAGCTCTGCAGCATCTGCAACTATCTGGTCAGTTCACTCTCATCCTCTCACACTGCAAAGATGCTTTATTTCATATTTATTGATGCTTTATTTGTATCTATGAGATGGTTTCCAGACTGATATTCATCTTGAATATGGTTCTTGATCTGTCAGCATACCCATGTTCATGGTGTTCAGTCCTAAATATCTATGACCTACAGTACTCTGGACTTTCCTTCCATGCTAAGGTGACATGTAGAAAATAATGGGTGATAGGTTCTCACCTGTATTCATTCAAGTAACAGGCTTCCTGTCCTCATATATCTGTTTACACTTGCATGAGAAGCATGTTTTTAAAGTACTTTTGAGAGTAAACAATACTGTTTCGTCTCCATCCAGATCCCCTCAGAAGTGTACCTGCTAAGCCATCTGAGAGGCAAGAAGCACCAGCAGGCTCTTCACGACAACAGCTCTGGGATTGCTATGTCAAAACAGGAAATTGTAAGTCTATGCTTTCATTCACTAGAGCAGTTTGAAAATTTGTTTTTAGTTTCATTGTCAGTACTGTCTGTGTGAGCCCAAGAAACAGGGTGCTCAGGATCGCTGACTTTGTGTGATTGTGTGTCTTGGTCTCCTGATGGAATAGGTTGTTGCTCATGATATCAATCACTGGTTTGTCTGGTCCAGCTTGATTATTGACAGTCTGTTGTTATTTGTACCTGGAATGTGGCTTTAGTGCGGTATTAAACAGGAACAAGTGAACTAACAAGCTTATACAAGAACTCTCAGAATGTTAATTGGTTCAATTATATAATAGCATTACAAAAGACTAAAAGTGAATTAATGCCCATTGTAAGACATACCTCTTATTGCATAAGGTACATAGGAGCTACTGTTTTACTGTCAGCTATGAGATCACAGGGCTGTATCCTTGTTGCATATGTTAATGCACATTATCCATGGAATGTTGCTGCTTCCTGGAAACTGAGGGAAATATATCGAGGTGATTGTTTTAATTGGTTCCTGGTAATGATGTTTCGTTGTACCCAGTCATATTTTTAAAAATCTTACTGCTCTTTGATCTGCAGTCACTGATCCACTGTGTCTGTTGTAGGAAACCTTCAACCTGAAGCATATTGTGGATGCCCCCGACAACAGCAACCACCCCAAGATTGTCACAGAGAAGGAGCGGCAGAAGTCACTGAGGAAGCGGTGCAAGAAGCTACGGCAGAGGATGACATCACGGTGAGATTGGATTAGAAACTGCCACTCATGCCATAGACAAGGCTAAATGTTCCATAGATCAGGTTGCGAATACTTGTGTCTCAAGCCCTACACAGTTTTTCTATGTCATTATCACCTCTTTTGACTGAAAGCAGTTAAGTTTCCATTTTTGGAAGGGACTATGTAAAAAGGTCAGTCAGACCCCTTCCATTGGCACCTCAGCATATAAGTGGCACTTAATGATACAGTGTATTAAGGGCGACCTTGATACATGAAAAACATCCAACTGTGAAAAAAATCTGCTTTAATGTTTTGTTGGAATTTGACTGTCACTGCAGTCACCAATGATTTATCCAATGACTATAACACACTTCTTCCTAATGGCCTTGAGCAGTTCTCTTTGGTAATGTCATGAAAAGGTCAAAGGTCAAGGCCAAGGCCACAAGGATATACTCAGTTTTAAAAAGGGTGTGATTACACTTTCTCAAAATATATTTGTGAATTTATCATGAAACTTGTTATATACCTTCTATAGGATTGAGCCCTTCTATGAAAAGGATTTGGTCAAAGATCAAGGCCTGCAGTCGAGTTTTCGGCAAAACATGGATATATCATTGACAGTTTATGAGGCATTTTTTCTTGTCTAATTCACATCCAATGATGACTGCATTTTGAATGACTCTTCATCATTTTCACCAGTATTAGATTCAATGTGACAGTCAGCACCCACGCTTTCCATCATTTCAGTGGTCTGGAGTATGAAGGGACCCTGGCCAACAAGCAGCAGATGGCTGATTCTGAACATAAAGCTAAGTAAGTAGACAAGCCAGGACATATTGTCACTGTCTCAACCATGTTGGGTCAGTGGTAGAAAACACGAGTCGGAAGCTGTAATAATTTCATCCTTAGATTTTCATTCCTCCTACTCATCATTACATGTCACCCAGTTGAATCAACATGTGACTTCTCTTCATTCTTTACAAGTTTACCTGTTGAAGTTAACCACATTCACAATCCTGCCAAAAGTTCATGCTACAGGTGAATCATGCCTGTCATCTGTCAGTGTACCCAGCTGCCTTGATCAGGTTTTGTAAGATGGACAAATAGTAAAATTGATATGTCGATCCCCTCATATTTTTGACAAAATTGTGAGAAAAGCATTTTGCTTCTTAACCAAAGTATTTGGCTATTTTGTTACAGAAATATTTAGCATGTAAAGATGCTGATGTTTCCATGTTTACCTGCAGGTTGCAGAAGGTGATAAAGGACTTGAACAAGTACCTGATGACACAGGACCGTGGCCCCTGGCCAACCAGTAGAGTATCTGCCACAGACAGAGCCATAGGAGAACTCACACGCATCTTGGAGAGAAAGGTACAAGTAGCATCCAGATACCACTTTGTTCTCATTTCATGTTATAGCTTAAATATATTGATGATGAGGTGGTCTGAGTTGTTTAATCATCAGCAAACTGGCACCGTTTCCTAAAAGATAACCATGGTTACACTTAATGAAATCTGTTTTAGCTTTCAGGCAGTGCTGTTGTAGCAATTGGAAAACATGCCTTTTCATTTGAATGTATTGATGCATTCTTCATGTGTATGTTTAAATTATTTTGTACAACACAAGATTATTCATTATCTCTAGCCTGACATAACAAGATTATGTAATATATTGCCACATACTGTAAAGAGTTTTGTATGGAGTCAGGCCCCACAATCTTAGCACTACAATGGTTGTAACTCCCATACTCTAACATAGACATGAAAGCCGTCATATAGCTGGAATATTGCTGAGTGTGGTGTTAAACAACAAACCAATCAAAACCAATATCCAATGCTTGTTATAAGAATTGACTAGTAATCTGTTGTTAAAGGTCACATGCAACGTAAAACACAACTTTGCAGATTCTGATACCTTTCGGTATGGACTTACCGAAACAAATCGTCAAAAATGCAAATTCAACTTATAAAGTTGAAAAATAACGCGATGAAAAAAAACGCGCAAAATCAGAGTTCAAATGATTCACTAATTTTCCCCGACTTTTCGGGAAAAACGGTTTCAACAGCTGGGCTGCGCTCATAGCAGTCTTGCGCGAGTGAAATAGGTTCGCATAACTTGGAAGCGGGCTGTCCGAGTGAATACTCGGTGAAGGCTTTGGTGTGGGCTATTTTTCTAATGTTTTGTTGATATCTCACAGGCCCGAGCTTTTTATATGTTATGACAGTAAATTAACTGTTTATATAATTTCATTTGTCTATTTCACCACGCGTTCTTCTTACCGAGTCACTTTCTCAGTTCGATACTTAAAAGCAATGTCATTATTTAGCGTTGACAGAATTTCTAACTGTGATATAGATATGTCGTTGTCACAGACAAAACTCAATGTCTTGTTTTATTGACACCTGTGTGTCTGCCTGCCTGTCTGCTAATGACAATATTCAATACACAACTGCGATCACTGACCACATGCAATTTGAACTTAACACCAATCAGGCTATACACCATAAACAAAATGCATTGATTTATGGCCCGAGTTCGGTCTCTGTCACATTATGTAATTACACAGACAGGCAGGTGTGATACTTGAACACATGACATGTTATGATATCTGTTGATTGCAAAATGTTATACACAAAAAATGAGCATGTATTTACAAAACCCAACATCTCTATATATACACACACAATGAGCCGTGAGGGACATCTGCAAATGAACCAGCCGTTACACTTGAGTGCACACCCACCCGCTCTGACTGGGTTTGGTATCCCGGCTGCTTCGTTTCTTGGGAAGTAAACCCAAGTACACAATATTGAACTTTTAATTTGCAATTATACGCTTATAATTTTGTTTATATGTTTTTTTCATAACCAGCAATGTATATTATATGTCATGAATAAGTGATAATTGTGTTTTAATTATGTTTGATTTTTTGGTTGCATGTGACCTTTAACCAAACTGGGCCTAGATGAGTCTATGTCATACCAGTATTACCAAGCACATTGGCAATTTATTAACTATAAATGTCTGGCTTGTCTTGTCCAGATATGGCCGTTTACAGGTTGCCAGGATATAGCTGGGATAGTACTGAATGCCGAAAATTACATTTCTCACTGACTTAAGAATTCTGTCCTGTTTTGGGGTTAAGAGTGTTTGCTCATCACGCCAAAGGCCGGGGTTCGATTCTCCACATGGATACAAAGTGTGAAGCCCATTTCTGGTGTCCCCTGCCATGATATTGATGGAATATTGCTAAAAATGGCATAAATCTTCACTCACTCACAAACTGACTGTCCTGTGTTTCAGTCTGTCTTGGATCAAGTAAGTTTCCGGGTCCTGGGAGGGCTGACAACACTGACCCGGCTCCTGCAAACCATCGCTGACTCAACACCCGCTCTCCCTCCTGTCATACCCCAGAAGTGAGTAGGATCAGACTTGAGCTCTGCTGCATATACCCATACCCTACAATACATGTACTGTGGATCACCTAAACACGCTGTTGCGCTTTGTGCTCCCTGTGTGTAATCTGGCTCGTTTTGCTGTCACAGACATTTTGGAAATGTATCAAATTAAAGATATATTGGACTCAATTTGATTTTTGACTCCAATTCAGTTCACATTTGTAAAATATGTTTGAGACCTGCAAAAAATGTCTTCAGTCCATGTTTCAAAGAGTTTTATACCATGCATCCCATGAAATAAGTGATGTTTTCACCATGAACATTGCTTTATCATTGTTTTATTTGAAATTGATGTAAAAACAAATTTAGTGCAGAAACATGATTTGTTCAGTGTATGTTATCTTTTAAAACGTTTTTATTTTTTTGAATGATTATCAAAGCACATATTCATGTGAATTGCTAGGAGAGTTATCTCCCTTAGACTGTGTATCCGATGTTCAATTTACCTTATGTTAATTGTTTTATAGGTAAATATATATCCAGTAAACATTGCTTTTACAAAATGATAATTTTGTACGCATATTCATAGGTCTTCTACTGAAGCAATTAATCCCAAGCCTGAATCTTGTAAAGTTATGTTTGTGTAGTACATGTATTATACTGTAAATGATAAGAGCCACATTCAGGAGAATAGGCTAAACAATTTTGGCACAGACTGCAGCAGTGATAGAAACTAAACAACAGAACTGAACGTTTTGAAACCCAAGGTTCCTGCAGTGACACAGAAGAGTTTTGAGTTTGATTGTGTATCACTTTTCAGATCTCTGTGTCAGACTTGCGACGCTTATCGCCTGGCATGTAAGGGATGTTTTGAGAACTGCCACTACATGTTGTTCAGCAACAAGCTGGGAGTCCTCACGGATCATCTGATACATCAGCTCTCTGTAAGTTTGCTTCCACTTTCAAGATTAACATTGTGGGTTTTCAGGTTTGTGAGTTTAATTGAGAAATTGATAACCTGAAATTTCATTTGGAATAAACAGCCTTTACCAGAGGTGTCGATTGTAAAAAACTATGTGGTGATTACATGCTCCTGTAGTGACTGAATACTGGTTTGGAGAGTGTAGAAAAAAGGTTGTTCTGATAAATATTTATCAAGCAATATTTGATTCGTGCAGTATCCATTTGCAAAGCAAGTGACATGTTTATATAAAGATAAGACGTTTTTTAGAAAAATCTTCATTGCAGTGAATTTCCTGGTTTCAAATCCCATTTTATCATGTTTTTCAACCAATCAGATAGCAGCACACACTTACATTCGTTTGGCAATGCACACTCACTATTGGACACTCACTTTGTAGTTTGTCAGTCCACCATTCACAGCTTCTGTTTCTGAACAGTTATGTTGAGAATTTATATACCATGTGCCTTATATAGCATGAATGTTTATGTTATATATATTTTCAGATTATAGTTTGAACATATTCTATTTTAAAGTTTATCAATGTGATATTTTCTAAGACCACTTGGTTCAATTTGTCAGGGACCTTTACTGAACCTAATTCTGAAATCTAACCTGCTGTACAATTGTGTGGGAAGTTGGAAACAGAATAAAGGCCTTCAGGAACCCCTGTTTATTATAGACCCCAAAAATGTGTCCAAGATAGGCATGAAATTTTATCCTGAAACATTATGTGAAAGGTCTTTGAAAAATTGAACACTCACCTGTGACCTTGTTGATTGTATGTCATCACCTGGTTATGTTACTGTTGCTCACATAATTGGTTTGGCTGTAACAGGCTAGAATTCTGGCAAGAATAGGTTAGAAGAGGCGATTAATGGATTGGGTGGTTATGCATGGTGACTTAGTTGAGTACTTGTCATTATATCTTGTTGCATGGATCATTGCTCATGATGTCAATCACTGGATTGTGTGGTCTAGATTTATATACAGTGTAAATAAAAAACAAAACAGCAACAAGCATATCTACATGTCACTGTTCCGGAAAGAAATTTTCACCCAATATTTCTCAGATGGTAGGTCCACCCTGTGAGATGAAATCAGTCCGTCTCTTATCTCTCCTGTCTGTTGTGTCTCAGCTGCTGCTGCCTGAAGACTGCCCCACTCCAAGTGGCACAGTGGAGCAGAAGCTCCCCTACGACCCACTAGCAGCCAGCCTCATGCAGGTAGTGGCCAGTGTGCTGTCCTGCCTGGCCAAGAACAACCCTACCGTCCACTCCAGTGAGGCCTCCTTGGAGAGGATGAGCAGCAGCGGCGACGCCTTTCGCCAACAGGGGCAATGACATCATCAGGTAGGTTGATTTCTTATATGAGTAGATGAATTACTGTTTGTTTCCCTTGGTCTGTGTGAATTCTCTGATAGAGAGTGAGTTGTTTTGGATTCAGAGTTGTGCCCCTTGGCGACCAGGATCAGCTGGTCATTGTACTGGTTCCCAGAATCTCCCAGATGATGCTTTGATCTGTTAGCATCTTACATTTGGTTGGTTGTATTGACAAAGTGGTAAATGTCTACATCCAGCACCTTAATACGCTTACCTTCAATATAAACTGGAATATTGTATACAGCATCTTAATACGCTTACCTTCAATATAAACTGGAATATTGTATACAGCATCTTAATACGCTTACCTTCAATATAAACTGGAATATCTCACCCACACAACCCTGTTTGGAGGACAGTCTACACACTAGTGTTTGTTACTACCACTGTAAATGAATATGGTAATGAACTTTGATAACCTGATCTGGAGGATGCTCACAGTGCTACATGAGGCATGAGTTTGGTTTTACGCTTTTAGCAATATTCCAGCAACATCACGGCACACCAGAAATGGGCTTCACACATTGTACCCATGTAATTCGAACCTGGGTCTTCGGCGTGACGAGCCAACGCTTTAACCACTAGGCTACCCCACCGCCCCTACATGAGGCATGAAAGCATAGCTGGAGAGTAAGGACTGAAGGGCTATCTGAAGAGATGTTTTATCAGTGGATGACCACTGGTAGTCTATCACTTCACTGATGTCTGGCTAGTCTGTTGGAGGGCAGTCACCCATGATTTTTGATTATGTAAGTGAGATGTGACTGACTCTTCTGAGGAACCTAACTCGTTACTTGAAAATAAGAATATTGTGGGGAATTGAATTTGAGTATTTGGAGTGACGAGTGGATATTCTAACCACTAGTCTACCCTACTATTCCATATGTTAAACCGGAAACATCAGATTACATAACCGGAAAAGCTTGAAATACAAGCTTCACCAAATTTATCTGTCCACTGAATCCAAGGTTAAATGTATCATGAAAGGAATGAGAGTAGCCCTGCTCCTGAAAAAAAAGGAATTAGTCAACAGACAAATATACCAAGACTTAGAAGACCATGGTCAAGTATGAGGTGATATAATATATTTTCCATCATCACAGACCCAACTGCAACTGCTTGGCATGTGTTCTAGCTTCTATGAAATCCAAAACAGGAAGTTCCAAATATGGCATATTCAAATGAAATTGGTTGGGTCAGAGAGTAAGATTGTTGTTGCCAAGTGTTGGTACAAATCCTTAGAGATCCGGGGTAATAGGTCTTCAGCAACCAATGCTTGCCACAAAAGGCGACTATGCTTGTCGTAAGAGCCGACTAACGGGATCGGGTGGTCAGGCTCGCTGACTTGGTTGACACATGTCATCGGTTCCCAATTGCACAGATTGATGCTCATGCCGTTGATCACTGGATTGTCTGGTCCAGACTTGATTATTTACAGACCACCGCCATATAGCTGGAATATTGCTGAGTGCTGCGTAAAACTCAACTCACTCACTCACTCACAATTCCTTTGAATGTAAATGAGCAGTATGTTTTATCATCACAACTGGATATTCTCATGCTTTGCTTGTAATTTTAAGATTATTTTAAATTTTACAAAAGACAAAGATGCGTCACACATCATTGGTGATTATCATTACTACTTGATTAAGTCGTACAACAAAGTGACTTGATGCGGAACTGTGAGAAGCACTATGTGAATATGACCAACCATTACATGATTTCAACCCATGCGATGTGAACCTAACATGACAGTAAACTCAAATATGTAGAGATAAAAATGCATCCCTACATTAATGCAAGCAAAGGATATTCACATTTCCCTTTGCTTTAATGTTTGATTGATTGTTTATTTGTTGTTAAATCCCTCACTCGGCAATATTAATGCTATATGGCGGTTTTTAAATAATCGAGACCAAATAAACCAGTGATTAACAGAGTAAATATCGATCTACACAATTGGGATACAATGATATGTGTCAACCAAGTCACCGTACCTGGTCACCGGAACCCGTTAGTCACCTCTTGTGGAAGTCCAATTCTAACCTGGATCTTCACTAATTTGATTTAATGATTTTCAGTGTCCATTTGTACACTGTCTACTAGAACATTACGCAGCAAGTTGTATCAGGTCTGGTAGTTGTTCAGTTATGTGTCAACTTCTTTATTAATGTGGCAGCCACTAGCCTGTAAAGGCTGTTAGCCAGATCAAGAGATTCAAAATCAATTCTTCAAATATGCATGTACTATTGCCTTAATGCTTGCAGAAATATTTGTACCTCTAACTTTCATGTCATGTTTTGCTCACATAGCATGGACAATTATTTCCATGTATGCAGATATCCCCTATTGAAGATAGTATTGTTAACAGTAGAATCCAATTTGGCCATATCGATTTATTCCGAAGATTTTCATCTATGGTATATTTTTAATAGATGTGAATCAGAAGGCATTTGTTTATTGTTTAGCAGACTACCTATGGCATCTGATGACAGTAGACGATAGATATGATTCACACAAATCATGAATGAAACTCCATTTTAATCAACGTATTGATAAGGCTTATTTTCAGACAGTAATGACATCTGACTACATCTATCGTAGTGGGTCATTTGTGAAAGATCAGCAGTATGAGTAATTTTCATAGGTCCTCTAGTCCAGAGCTCGTACTTTTCTGCAAGGACTAGCATCATTTCATTGTGGACTGCAACTTTCACCTTTTAGTCTGTCTCACAGTCCCTAAACCACATTATTTTCCCTACTGCCTTGCCTTCCCTGCAATGCTAAAGCCTAAAACGATGCTAGTCTAGATTCCCTCAGGTTCTGAATCTCACATCTCACTGGGGCTCCTTTTCAATTTAAATGGGATTATTTGTACTGTCAAAATTACATATATTCAAAGACTAAGCGTTTGTCTATTTACCTTTAGGCAGATAATGTTGCAGACTTATGAAAGTAACAGTAACTATGGTCAGATGTGACATGTTGGTCAGTGTTAAGCATTTGCTTTTATGAATACAGCAATAAAGCAGATGATTCAATAAATGAAAAACTCTGAAATGGTGGAATCAATCAGATGATGATAAACCAAGCTAATATTTGTTGAATGTTTGGGAAAACCGTTACATAAAACCTTCTTATAGAAGAACAAGTCATACTTGTTTTAAACATAATTTCCCTGATCGCAAGATACTAGTTGTAAGAGCGAGTCCCCTCATACCCTGTGCTCCCGAAAGTCAGATGGAAGTGCCAGGAAGCAAAAAACAGTGTTTGACACAGACATTATCAGGTAAAACATGACGCTTGTGGTTGCACAGTACGATCAAGATTATCAAATCTCAAACTATTGAATTTCTCGTTTTGTCTTGTTTAGTTCTTCTCACTAGGAGCTGGGCTGTCATGATAAAGATGGAAGGTCCTATTTCAGACATCCGTTGGGTTGTTTACATCTTTTCAGACAGTTTCAGAATGTCATTTCATTGTGGAATTCAGGATAATATCTCCAGCCCACATATTTCCTCCTTCAGGGATAAACTAAGTAATTGTTTCAAGTGTAACTATGTAGACGCTGTGTTGTTTTTTGGTGTATTGGGAAACCTTGTTTGACATCACAGAAGTAAAAAAGGTGTGTCATTAGCATCATCAGTGAGGTGGCATCAGGAAATAACTGGTAAATTTGTACAAGATAGGCACAGCATGTCCTGTCTAATTATTGTCAGTTTTCTTTCATTTTACCCCCTTAATCTTTTCCGCGAGATTAGCAGATCAGTTGTTGTTTTGAGTGTTGCATTTGCCTGGAGTTGAATGTAAACTTGCAAACCAAATAATAAGGTATGCATGTTGAACTGTTCCTCTCTTATCAGTCTTGTTTGTTTGCTGTTTCATGCCAGATGCAGCAATATTCCAGATACATTATGTAGTGTTTAATAATCAAGTATGGACCAGAAAATCCAGTGATTGACATCATGAACATCAATCTGTGCAGTGGCAATTTGATGCATGAACCATATCAGCATTGCTGATCACCCGATTCTATTACTTGCCCTTTAAGGCAGTGTGTGTTTTTGAAGACCATTCTAATCTGAATCTTTGCATTAATTGGACAGCTATGATATATCTGGGATATTGTTCAAAGTGGCGTTCAACTAAACTCACTCTTCTCCCCCTCGCCCCATGCCTAAATATTAGGCATCATGAAACATTTTTTCTATAATAATTCCATACAGTAGTTGAGGCAGTTATATTGTGTTAAAGATAATTAAATGTAGTAGATTTGAGCTATTTATGAAACACACAGTTTATTTCTGATAATTTTCAGTAAAATGGGGTCTTGTCTGTGATTTTAGCTCTGGCAAGATAAGAAAGAAGCCCCTAGCTGGACAATATCTATTTGAAATGATGACCCAATTTGTCACATTGGTTGTGTTCTGTAACATGACAAGTGAAATCTTTCCAAACCTCCCTGGTAGAACATATCAGCGATCTGTTGTTGTGTTATCTCATATTGTGGGGCATGCAGGTTGTCGGCCCTTATCGGGGGAGTGTTATCACAACCAGACTGGAATCACACAGGGAAAGTCGCCTGGGCCTGCCAGAGTGTCAGATAGAGTTAGCTGTAGGGAAAACAGTATCTCTACATTGAACAGGCTTTTCCTAACCACTGGTATCACCTTCTGAGGTCACTGGGAACAGGATAACTGTTCAGGGCTTTGCATGATTATTTCGTCATTTACTGTCATTAAATGTTTTGCTTCTGTTCATGGTGTCTTGAAGAATAAATGTTTAAGCCATTTTGTTGAATTTGTGTAAAGCACAACCTGTTTTCCTGAAGTTATGAACATTCAAATTTGCAGTCTGTTGATTTACAGAATTTAGGATTTGGATTGTTGGTGTTTATACCAGTTAGGAAGTTTGAACATGTTTACAATTGTTTGAGGTAGAAATCTTTTAGAATCAACTTCAGTTCATTT